CAACACGTATTCATGCAGACGCCACCTTGTTAGAACCGAGGTAATGTCGTTCTGCAATTTTGGACCTACGTGTAGGATGTCGTTTAGGGAGCGACCTCCAACCGTTCTGCTGGTCGCAGTAAATACGACCCGCAATTTGGTTGTCGCACTTTCCGTGCGAATGACCGCTCTGTGCGGGATGTAGAGCCTAGTTTGGTCAATGGGCTCGATTCGAGTCATATGACCTAAGGACTCATACTCCGCGAGAAATTCAGAATATTCTCTTTTGAGGGTCATGTCGCCGTCCAGTTTCCTCCGCAACCTTGTAAGAGCGGAGAGCGCTATATGGAAGGAACTTCCTAACGCTTCGTCCGGTCTCGGGTCATTTAAAGGTAACCGGACTACAAAACGTCCCGTTGCGTGCCGCGTGACGGTTTTTCGAAAGAATGCTTCGCACTCCTCCTCCGCCTTGGTACGCAGCGAGGTCGAGGGAATTTCCTCGCTCTCCCAGAACCGCCGAATTGCGTAATCAAGCGATTCGAGGACGGTGCAATGCAGCGTCCTTACGGTTTTCTGGTTTTCGCCCGCTGCATTTATCGGGCCGGATATGATCCAGCCAAATACAGTTTCTTGGGCGATGGGACCCTTGTTCGTCCCTCGTCGGAATCCCGGTCGGATCACCTGTGCATACAGGTCCGCACCGATCAGAATTTCAATATTCCGATCAGCCTCGGGGTCGGGGTCAGCAAGCGGTAGGCCACTGAACGCGCCATAATTAAGCGCATTCGCCGACGGTGCACGGTAGGTCGTGATCTTTGGCACGACGTGCGCGTTTGTACCACATATCGGTTCTATGGCTTTTACCGCGCCGAGACTCAGTCCGACGCTGTATTTTATAATTTGCGTCCGACCGCCCCCCAAGCCCGTTACCGTGGCTGGGGTTCGTTTACGCAATAAATGGAGGTCGTTTGCTAAGCCGGCGGAAACGAAAGACGTTTCCGAGCCCTGGTCTAGCAAAGCGCGCGCGATTCGCGACGCACCATTTCTGCCGAATACTCGTACTCGTGCCGTTGCCAATACCACCGGCCTCGGTACGCCTGTACCGAGCGCGGTACAGTGCGACGTCGAGGCGGTATTTGTATTGGTGCCTGAAGCAGAGGTTTTTGCTTTCGGCTTCGATTTGACCGGTCTGCGTGATGGGGCGTTCGTACGCCTCTCCTCACGCTTACCGTACGAATTATTTGCAAACGGCCTCGTATTTTTTCCTTCCCGGTTTTGCGCGTAATGCAGCAGGATATGATGCTTCCCACTGCACTTTGCACATACTGCGGGGCTTTGGCAGTGTAGCACTGTGTGGGTAGAGGCCAGGCATTGTACACACCAGTGGCGACCCAGCACATATTGGCTACGTGTTTTTTCCGGCAGAACCAAAAAGGCGCTACACTGCTGTAAGCTGTGCGGTCCGGTACAGAACCCGCACTTTTGCTTCTGCGAAGGGCCGACCTGCCTTACGGCGTCGAGGCTCGACCCTCGCGACTGTGCAGCCGAGTCGGTTTCCACAACGGCGTTATGGCTGCGCACGTGTCTTGAGGCCGATCTCGTTTCCCGAGTCGTGCTACGACTACGTACGCTCGATTTTGTGGCAGCCGCAAGTGCAGCCTCGCGACGCTTCTCGTCCATGGAGAGCAGTGCGCGTGAGTGCATCTCGATGAACCTCCGTACGTCCTCGAACGTAGGATATTCTGTCGAGAGGTTGAGCGTTTTCTGCCACTCTAACTCAAGCGCAGGCGAAAATTTTTGCTTCGCCCAATGCGCGAGTAGCCAGTCTCGCTGCTGTTCGGGCGTGCCCTTCTTATCGAGGGCGGCGAGCGCCTGTGTACAACCCACGGTGATCTGCTGCATGCTAGCCAGATCACCGGTATCAATGGGTTTTAAAAACAGGAGCTTATCCAGCAATTTTCCCGTGACTATGCGTGGGAGGCCGAAGGTGTTCTTCAGTCTCGACCATGCCACTGAAAAATTACGACCGACGATCTCGATCGAAGCAATGGACGCTAGAGCTGGTCCCTCTAGGCAGGCATTCAGATAATGCAATCTTTGCACATCCGACAGTCCTGCATTCCGTATGACCCCGGAGGTGAACAGGTCCTCGAAATGTTCCCATTCCTGAGGATCTCCTCCGAACTTGGGTAATCGTTGCTTCGGGAGTTCGATCGGTATACTAAATTGAACGTCCGACGACGCTGGTTTAGACTCAGCGCTCAGTCGACCGAGTTCAGTCAGGACGAGATCCTGGAAATCCTGGAAATCTTCCTCGGCATTCCTCATATAATTCAGCTTAAAGATGTCGTGTGACGGTCTTTCCGCTGCAGGAATTTACTTACGCACGCTATTATACTTGGTACGTATATCGCGCCAAGTTTCTTTAGCGTGCTCGAGCTTTTCCTCAAGCATTCGCTCTGAGTACTTCGCTCGTCCTAACTTTTTTAGGTTCGTGCCCAACCGTTTTAGCTGACCACATAGATCGACCAAGTCTTCGATTTCGTCGTCGAGATCGATTTCTATGGATAACTGTGCTACGGCCATAGTGAGCGTTTTCGAGGACCAATCAACTCGAAAAAAACCTCCTACGTGGATAACTTCTCACGTGAAGTAATGTGCACCCTTATTCCTAGTCCGTTCAACCTCGTATGATCCGGCTCGAAGGACCTGTTGTTAGAATGCCAGGAGTTTTCCTGGCCTAACGGGGTCCGGATTACGAGGGAAAGGACTTTAGGAAAAAGTATATTAAAAATTGATGCACTTGATTTATATTTTCGCTTGGTCGCTTATCGCGGCCAAGCCGTTTATTTATTTTAACTTTGATTTATTAGTAACAAAAAAAAGAATAGGAAAAAAAAACCACCTCGACGTCAGCCAGACGTTGGGGGGGGAAAAAAACCTACGGCTGCCGCTCACCCTCAGCCCTCGTTGTTTGGTCTGTAACAAGGAAAGACAAGGCTGGATTTTAATACCTTGTAACGCTTGTCGCGTTGCCCGTCTCGCTTTATTTCGCACGCTCCTGTCTGTGCTAGTCGCACTCAGGAGCGGGAATAACAGACCGTGCTCGTCGAACTGAGCGATGTCTATGTGGACTGTATATGTGAACGTTCTCGTAAACGGAGAAACGTTCGATCGCAGTGCGGAAGAAGAGATTTAATTTCTCAATTCTCCGCTTTTTTGCGATGGTTGAAATGCCGCAGGAATGGACAACAGGTGGAGGTTGTAAGGCTCCAAATGTTGCTCAAATCCGCAGTTTCTCACCGTTCTCGTATGCGCACAAGGCGCGGTGTGGTGTAGCCCTTAACGGCGCACGAAACGTCTTACGTTTAAAGGAGCGTACACCACGGTGCTCTTTTGCGGTGCTCTGCGCACAGGGTACGTACACACTGGCGGTCAAGGAGCGTTGCTCGAGCGTGTCGGAAGCGGGAAGAATCCGGTTTTCTCCAGCTCCGACACGAGAAACGGCAAGCCCACCGGGGTATCGACCAAAGGTTACCCTGGGGGTGAAAATTCAAAACCGTGCGGACAATTCAATGTCGATCACGACCGCGTCAAATGCAGCAGTACGTGCGACAATTTGCTCTTCCACGGCCGCGAAGCTCAAGCGCTACGTGGAGAAAATCAGCCTCACACGACCGCGTCGAATGCAGCAGTCCGTGTGAAGGTCAGTACTGAGTAGGCCGTAGCCACTGGCTGAAACTGTACTTCCGACGACCGCTGAGTTCAGCGAGACGTTGGAAAGTCAGCCTCACGACCGCGTCAAATGCAGCAGTCCGTGATATAACCAGTCTCTCACGACCGCGTCAAATGCAGCAGTCCGTGGAGCCGTCAGCACTGACTGGGCCTTAGCCCTTGGCTGTGACTGGAGTTATCGACGTACGTGAAACGAGGATTTTCCTCGATTCGCTTCACGGCCGCGAAACTCAAGCGCTACGTGAAGCTGAGACGAAAACCCACAGTCTGTTTGGACTGAAATCTCGACAAACGGGAGCCGAGTTTCCTCGATTCGCCTCTCACGGCCGCGAAACACAAGCGCTACGTGAAGAATTCGGCGAGATTTATATAGTCATTTAATCGGGGCTGGAAAAATGCCTCACCGATTTAATTAATTGCGAGCAGCATTCGATTAGTCTCAACGAAAGGTTCGAGTGTTCTCAGAACCCTTTTTCGGAGAATCTGGCTTCGTCGCGGAGCGGATTCGTTCGTCGATCTGCTCGCTGCGAGGACCAGAATTCGAATCACGAAGCGAATAGACATCCGCAGTCACGGCCACGGAAGGGGTAATCACCCTCTCGCGGCGCTATCCCTGCTCTTCGATATCTATCTCTTCTCAATTTTAATATTTCGATACCCTCTCTGTTTATGGATCTTCGACGATCGATCCCAAGTATACGGTATTGGGTCGATCACGTGACTGAGAGCAAACAAACTCGTGTGTGGTTCTTCTAACCTGTATTGGTCCGTGTACCGATCTACGCATCAGAGAGTCTCTGGAATGTCGTGTACGCGAAAGCAAAAACTATACGAGGAATTTACGGTTCTCAGTTATGGTTCACGTTAAATTAGATAATTCTCTTAACGGTTCTCAAACCCGTCAATTAACGCGATATTTAAACAAATTGCATAGTGGTTAGTGCCTGAAAGGATTATTTGTGGATACTTGTGGACACTGTGGACAATCGTGGGGCGTGTATAATCGCATGTGGGTGATTTTTGTTCACAACATTGTGTATTGGAACTGGCATTCACCCTTTCTCTGTGAAAATCTCGTCGGGCGAGTTTTGATATGCCCTTCTGGATTTTCATAAGACAGGTTGAATCTTATTCAACGTAAGGTGTTCGCATTCCCATAAGTGGACAAAAATCTAAGGCTGTCGATAATGTCTGTTGGAATATATATTTTAACGTGCCGTGGGGTTCATCACAGTCCTCTTACCAAAAGGCCAAGCCTTCCCCACTCCGTGGCCAGATCCTTCTAGAAAATCCTTATCTTACTACACGTGTCGTACAGCACCATGACTTCGGGTCATCGGCCACACGCACGGTACCTTTTGAAGATCGGCGATGGGGCTCCCTATCGCCGACATATAAACAAAACATCCGCGACTCTTGGAATTCGTCGCGCCTCAAGTATCGACTACATCGGCCCAAGTCTGATGACAGACTTATGGTTCCGGTATCGATACCTACAGTACTCTTGAGAATCTGGTCAAAGCCCCAAATGCATTGACCCTGACACGTGCCACCCCTTAAAAAGGGATTGACGCTAACACGGCCAACCTGATCTGCTTCACGCTCTCGGGAAACATCAATTCAGAAATTCATTCACCCAGTGCACCCACAACAATCTGGATCACCTATGCACATTAATCAGGCATTCGAGCCTCCTTAGAACAGCGTCTCCAGGCCGCATGGTCCCCGGCTCCGCACCTCTTCCGTGCCCTGCCGTTACCACCGCCTAACGCTTCTACGACAAGTGTCCCCAGGCGTCGTAACCTCCACAGCTCCGCACACTACCTGTACCCTGCTGCGGTTACCGCCACACTTTTACCATCCTAGGCCGACGGGATCATAACGTCCTCTATTCCGCGCAATTTGTATACCTTTCAAATGCCGTCCTTCGACTACCTTGTCAAGGCAAGACCACGTGTCATCCCTGACAAGATTTAGTTTCGAACACCTAGCGTTGCTCTATTCCGTACACAACATTGTCGCCTTTCATACGTTATACCCGGGCCTTTCCACACTCACTTAAAACACTTGCTACAACCAGACAACCTCCCGCTTTTCCATGACTGAAATGTTTGGGTTAGATCTTAAATGAGAAAAATGCAAAGTTGACAAGAATCTTTTTAATTTGACCAAATATGCAAGGATTTCAAAATACTAACAGATATTAACATAAAAATTGAACTAAAGTTTAACGAATTGGCGTACAAAAAGTAACTAATACTAACTCTAATATAAATATTATCCAACAATCTTCAAGTAGCGTATATATATGAGCGCATTATTGAACTATTATCATTTTTTTTTTTTTTTTGTTTTTGTTTTTTATTTAATTATCTACCGCTAACACGGTTCATCGGCACTCTCCCATTCATCGTCGTCGCCCGGCCATTCGCCCTTCCATAACCGCAACCGATCTTTCGGTGCTACCTGCAGTTTACCGCTCTTGCCTACAATCTCATACCTGTCCTTTCCCATTGCGCGCGTGATTTTAAATGGTCCTACATATTTCTCGTCCAGCTTAGCCCGACGAGTATCGGATGGACGCACAAACACCGTATCACCATCTTTATACACAATATTGTCTCTACGCTGCTTATTAAAACGTCTATTCTGCGATTCAGCGTTTTTCGCCAGCCGTTCTGCTGCCAAGATCCTATCCGCGCTGACGTCGATCCGCTCTCCCATATCTGGTATTTCCCTCTCGGCAGCTACCGCGCTGCCCGCGCTACGCTCCATACCAAACAGTAGTCGCGTAGGTGAAAACCCCGTTGAACTCTGGATGGTGGTATTCAAAGAAAGTTGGATTTTCGATAATTTGTTCGGCCATTCTGTAGTATTTGCTGCTTCGACAGTAAGCAAATCAGTTACAGTGGCAACGTAGCGTTCCGCCTGTCCGTTCGCTCGCGGGCCCCCGGTGGCAATTAAGTGTAATTCAACCCCGTGTTTCCGAAAGAATTGTTCTAGCGGTTTATATGTAAAGTTTGTTGCTCGATCAAGGACCACCCGACGCGGAGTTCCAAAGAGAGTCAAGCGATCTCGAAAAACCTGCAATGTCTCCGGACCGCTTAAAGATTTTAACGGGATGAGTTGCACGTACTTTGTAAAAGTATCAACGATCAGCAAAATGTGCTTATAACCGTCTCGCGACTCGGGAAATGGGCCCACACAGTCACCGTGAATGGTGTCAAAGGGAATCGCCGACTTGGGTATCGAGTGTAATAACCCCTGCTTCGGCCCACTATGCTTTTTGGCGACGATACACGTGATACAATGGTCTAGGTATTTCTTTACAAAACTCCGGGCTCGGGGAAACCAGTACCTTTGCGCAATGCGATCGTAAGTTTTATCCAACCCCACATGGCAATTTTCGTCGTGATACATCCGTAATAGACCAATCCGACTTCCCTTTGGCACGTAACTGCGGTAGATCGTGCGCCCATTGTCTTTTAAAATCTTTCGGCATAAGATATTCTGACGGAGAACATAATCGCTGCAGATTGATTCTTCATTACGGACCCGACTTATAATATTTTGTGTTTCCTCGTCTTTGCTCTGAACTACCTCCAACCAGGAACCCTCGCAAATTACATGTACCCGGCGATCTTCGGGCGGATTCCTACTCAGGTAGTCTACGTGTTCGATATACATACTTCCCTTTTCGGTACTCTAACTCGAACGTAAAATCCTGCAGGTAAACCCACCATCGAGCGATGCGGGGCAACAGGTCTTTTTTCGTGCTAGTAGCTTTAACTGCGTTGCAATCAGTAACAATCTTAAACTTAATTCCTAACAAATAAACGCGGAAATATTTA